CAGAAAGAACCACTTTGACAGGTCAGGAAACAAATGAACGTCATGAAGGGCGATGCCATTGCAATAGATAGTAGTTAAGTAATTTACAAATGGGATAACTGTATTCGAACGCATTGACGAATTGAGTGCAGGGGCATAACCTGCAGTTATGTTGCCAGCAGTAGCTGTTAAAGCTGTACCGTCTTATAGTAATAGCATTGAAGCCTTAAAGAAGATTAACTTGTTTCTATACTTCGATTAAAACATGAGGACCATTGACAGTTCGTCAGCTGGGACGTTGTCATCCAACTGGGTGGCTTGAACGTAGTGAAGTGTAACGAGGGGCTATTTTCTAATAGACTGTCGCCAACGTACGCTTTTGATTGTGAACCACGGATTCTACTATATTATCAATCGCTATAGAACAATAATTTGTAATGGCTATAGATATTTTGGATGTGAAAGGTTAGTTAAATCGGAGGAAGACTGATTGTACTGTTACGGAGGAAGTATTAGGATTTTCGCAGACTGTGATTTCAATTTTTCATTAATGGTGTAACTAGAACAGTATCCTATAATAAGAACACACTTAGAAGCTCTGTGGATGTGATGTGAGCTAGTCAGTCATTCAATCTCTCAGTCCGTGGAATCGCCGAATATCACGAGAGGAACATGCCTATTTCGGTGTTCAACCTTCGTCTATTCAGCCAATCTGAATTGGTACAGACACTAATCGCCAATTCCAGTATGAATTTGGTGGGCTGAGATTCCGTAACGTGTGGTATTACTAGTGCCAAATATATGCATTACGAATCAGCCGCGTTAGCCCTTACTTAAAAGTCAGAGGAGTCAGCTTAGCAACATCCTCAATGAGTTGTAACAAAAGTCCCACAAGAGAACATGACGAAGACATTGAACCACCTCAGCTACACAGACGCATTCCACGTGAGCTCGTCGTGGCCTCACTGCAGCCCCTAGTACGCTCTGACCAAACCATCATGGAGTCCCCACGTCTTCTCATCAAATCCCGTGACTGATACGTCCCCTTATGAAACCCCATGCCCGCTGAGTGAATATTTATTCCAGTAATTTCTTAGATCTTGTTTCTCACATAAGTGAATTGATATACTCCTGCAAATGGATACCCTGCCCGAGCGTGAAATCCAGTGCCTATGTACACGTCGGTTTACCGGATTTTATCCTCCATATATCTCCCACAGCGGGGTATCTCCTCTGTGGTGACAAGCTCAAAAGTTCCTACTAGTCCCCCGACATGGGTGTAGCGCATGTAAGTGTAAGTAAGATTGCATGAGGGGAGAGGATAGGACAAGGAAGAGGAAGGAAAGATCACGCGCGGTCCATGGCCCTCTTTTAGAGTAGTGCCTGGTACTGATGAAAGAAACCACGGGAAACTATCGTTGAGGGCAGTCCCAGGATAGAATTCTCCTCCGGAGGGTAGTTATCCAGCTATGTAGTAGAAAATCTGTCACAGTCGGGACCGGATTCCTGGTACCTCCCGTCAAATAGAGTCGCGCGGCGGGGGCGGGGCGGGGAGGGGCAGGGCCCTACGCCGTGACAAACGCGCGGGCGCGCGCGGCGGGCGCACCGCGGTCGGTCAAGCGTGCCTCGTGATTAATACGGATGCCGAGAGCGTTCATCACGCTGAGGGTGGAGGCGGTGGTGACAGCCGCTCGAGAAATGAAGACGATGGCAGCGGGGGCGGCGAGAGAGCAGGTGGTAGACGTGTTGTGAGGGTGGAGGAAAGATGAGGTGTGTCAATGAAGCGGTGAAGGGGAGGAAGAAAGACGGCTCGAGAGGGCAGAGAATTTTAGAAAGCAAGAGGAATGACGGCAACGGTGGTAGTTGGAGCAGCTGTGACATCGAGCGATGAAGACGAGAGAGATAAAGTACTACAAAAATAAGTGAGACAGGGCGGCGAGAATCCGAGTATTGCCCGATTTAAATGCAGTGATTTACAGCTCATCGCCAGAACGCGGTAATACAATCAGGAACTTCGATGTGACTTTAATTTTTGGAATTAAATATCCCGATTAGATAACTGCGTCACAGCTGATTATCAGTCAAAAGTCTCTACATATAAATCGGACAATAGGTTGTGCTCGAAATGCGATAAATTCTTCATCACCCGTCTGGTAGAGAGAAGCAATCACCAAATCAGTGACTAGTGGAGTACAGATGCAGTGAGGAAGGCAGAAAGAAGGGTGAAGCAGGCGGAGGGAGAAGATGGTGTAGGGAGGATGTGTTGTTGTGAAAGTCGCGGGGAAGTGGTCGGGTGGTTGGCAGAGTGCAAGTTTAGCTGAGCGAGGGAGTTACGTGTGAATCTGTTAGCGAGGGGGATGAGACAGAACTGGGAGGAAAATGGTGGTTGATTGACTGGATAATTTCCGCTCACGCCGACTACTATGGTCGTTGGTGTCGTTATTGTAGTGAATGTTAATCCCGGAAGATAGTGTTGCTCCTCTCTCCGCTGGCTGGCGAGATTCGACGCTGACCTACACGTCAGCGTGCGGGAGAATTTCCCCAGGTATCTCCCCCCAGCGGCATACAGCATCACCATCTCAACCAAGTTGAGCTCTAAACTCCCGGCTCTCGACGTGTGTGTTAGTGTTGTGCTTGTAAATATAAGTGTATGTGATAGGGGAGAGGAAAAAAAAGGAAAAAAACGAAAGATCGCGCACGGTTGGTGACCCTTTTGTTAACATACTGCTCCAGCATTGGGTTGGGATTGATCGGAGAAACCACGGAAAACTACCGATCAGATGAACCGACCGCTAGAATTCTCTTCCAGCTCGTGTTAACGCAGCGTACGGCAGCGGGGGCGAGGCGGCACTGGCAACGGCAGCCGCACGGGCGTCGAGCGGGCGAAGACGGCCAGGACGGGGCGGAGCACGCGGGGGCGGTGACCGCCATTAGCTCGCATGACGAATGCATTGCGTCCGCGCCGCCGCCGCTGCCGCGCGTTTCAATCGGCCTCATTACGGGGCATACCGCGGCCGGCGCGCGCCTCGCCCACGCCCCCGTCCTCGCCGTCCTCGACGGCGCCGCGTGACGAGGACTAATCGGCCGGCCGCGCGCGTTTAACGCACTAAACGCGGGCGCTGCGCTCGACGCCCCGCGCGGGCGCTGCGAGGGAGGACGGGGCTGGAAGTGGGAGGGAATGGGCACTGAACAATTGATCTAAACGCTACAACATCACGACGTAATCAGCACCTGGACAGTGTTAAATCCGTGTGAAATAGAGCAGGGGAGGGGTCACTTTCCGGAAAACTGGGGAATTTCGCTGCTTTGGAAAATCAGGGAAAAACAGGGAATTTGTGGAAGGATTGTTAGAAGTCAGGAAAATTTTGAGATCGATATAAACCATAATATTATTCCTAAAATTTCCTTTGGAAACGTCAGAGAAAATGAGGGAAGTTGTGGACGGATTGTTAGAAGTTACACAAAATTTTGAGATCGTTAGAAAACATGATATTATTCCTAAAGAAGTAGTACATTATTATTATTATCTCAGTTTTTATTAGTTGTATTACTTTTTTTAATTCCTTTGTAAACCCTACTTCTTCACGACGAAATCTGAGAGCTGACAAATAAGTTTCAGGCTTGCTTTAATATTTTCTTAAAGAACGTGAAATACTCTACAAATCTTATCAGAGAAACATTTTTAATGCACTGGAAAACCGGAAAAAGTAGGTAAAAACTGGGAAATTTGTTACAGAAAATGAGTAGCCACCCTGTAGGATGGAGAGCAGCTGCTGGGTGTTGATTGAGATTTCAGACATTTTTCTTTTCCCTTCGGGTTGTGGTCATTTAACGCCAAGAACGCC